CCTGAAGCGCATGAAAACCAAGCGGGAAGGAAAACGTTGGATTTAAAAACGATCCCCTAGCGGCAACAATAAATGCTTGGTATTGAAGGTTCAGCAATACGGTGCGCATGGCAAAGAAATTAGTGCAAGATTCTATGCAAGGAACATAAATAAACGCGCGACATACCAGTATTGCACATCTAATAGGAAGATTCCTTTGGGAGTGAAACGAGGGGCATGTGCCAATCCCTCTAGAAGAGAACTGGCATACGGTTCTAAATGAAAACCAAACGGTAAAACGAACCAACGGGATAACCGGTTTTTAAGACTTTACTACTTAACAGTGGCACTCACATCTTTCCTGTCTCAGCTCTGTCTACAGTACGGCAGTCGATCATGATTTGTCCAAGTCTCTTGTGAAAAAAAAGATGGACAATGTCACTGCCCGAAAGTGGGACAACGCATACCTCAGCGGAAATACTGTAAACTCAGCGCTACGCATGGTTCAATTCTGCCGCCCACCCCGTCTGTCACTGCACTACCATGCCACTTACGTCGATTAGGCGGTTAACACTAGAATCTTTTCGCCAATTCGCCAATAAGGAAACAATTGTTCGTTTTTATCATGAATGTCAAAATGTCAAACAGTTAGTGAAATGGTGCTCTTCAGCCGGCCTTAAAATCTCAACGTTACAAAATCTGAAAAAAACCGGTCTTCCATTTCCATGTCTTGCAAAGCCCCATGGATCCGTAAAAACTAAACAAATCACCAGTGTGCAACTTTTATGAAGGTTACGGAACTCAAGCATTTCGGCATAATGCTGGATATTAGCATATCATGGGATGACCAAACTTCAGTATTTACTGCTAGATGCAGAGAAGCAGTGGTTTATGTTCCAAGAATAAAAGACATCAGACTGAGCGCTGGATTGCTAAATCGTTTGTGTAAAGCTTCGTCCCATCGTCCCTCTCATATACGCCTCCGGCGCATTTTTCCAACCTCAACAATCACCATTATAACACCTGTTGAAATTCCTACTTCAAAGTCAGACATCAACGGCCTACACTTTCAGAACGTAATAAAGGTAGGTTGCGAGTTCTGTTGTAAATGGCGCGCTTATGAAAACGAAACATCTGGGTAAATCCAAAAGGCCCGCTCTATTCAGACATACGTTAATGCTAACGAACTGTGATCAGAGACAATAATGAACAGAAAAGCAGCATAAAGCGGTTTATTTATACAGAACGCATAAATAAATGGTTAGTCAGATGACTGATCAGTGATCAACTTTTCGGCCTGTATCTCAACCCTTCATCACGGTAAGGAGAGTGGTTGACTGACTTCGGAATTCCTTCTGTTTTTCGCAGCGACGGGTACGTGTTGAATCAGAATGTAAGGTTTTGGTCTGTGCTGGTATTTAAATTGTTTTTGGACAACAGGGTGAACGAGGCTCATCCAATTCGCGCATAGTTCATATCGTTAATCACTGTCGACTTTGTCGCAGGCCTGGATGATAATACCCATTTGGCGTGTCTTGTTTCACTATACCTGCGCATTCTAACCATCGGGTACGTGACCTTGCTGTGCCGCATGCTGCACAATCCTGAAAACCTTGCTCTTTAGCTTCGCTGAGAGAGGCCTTTTTTACGTGGGTGCTTCGTTACCACATGCTGTTCACATTTGCCAGAGA